AATAATCACAAAGCAGAGAAACACCTCAATGGAAAAGAAAGGAAAGAATACTAAATAATGAAATAACTTCAAAATGGGTCACAAAGGGAGATAAAATGCCAAGGTTCCACATTACAACCCAGCCCCTATGCTGTCATTGACCCTCCAAGACTCTCTGGCTGAGAACAAGGCTAGTCACATCCCTGGACTGTGGTCAGAGGGCACTCAACTGAAGCTTACTCTATGCGCTAGCCTGCAAATGGATTTTGGGCTTCCATTGTCATCCATAGCCTTCTGCAAACTTGGTGCCTACAATTTTAACCTCTGCTACCATAAAATGCTTGTATCACCCAGGTGGATGTGCTTCTTCCACGTGGATTAAGTTGACATCTCACATAGATGGCTGCTTGTTTGAAGACAAGCCTTAAAGATGCCTTAAAGACCCCAGATGCTATTCTTTCTGATAGCCAGTTACCATCTGGTTTCTTTACCACCCTGTGCTATAGAACCCAGATCTTCAGGGATTTCTTCAGGAAGGCCTCGATTAGGAACATGTCATAAGAACTAATTGTTCTTAGATTCAGGTAGAATTAAGTGCAAGGCCAAAATCCATTCATGTATTTGTGGTTTACATATGTCTCTGATTCATGTTACAGACATCATTATCATTTTATGATGGATAACTTTATAATTATCCACTGGGGCATAGGTGATTCTATTGGTCGTGTCATTAACTTAGCCAGCCAATAATACAGATTTTAGAACACTGTTGAGAAAATGAATGGATACAAGTATAGGCCGGCTTTTCAGGCCAAAATATGTGAATTGTTGACTTGTACAGTTTACACTCTTAAGTGACTGGACACTATTGACACAAACAATGGGCATTAGTAATACGAAACCACTTTCAATAACACGCATTCAAAGGGGCAGAACCCTGCCTACCAGATTCATAAGCAACAAAGCCCACATGGAAGAAGCACACCAGCCTATGCAACCACGAGGTGTCAAAGGGATCAGGTGAAGTGATCACAGCGCTCCAGTTTCCTTTCAATCCCTATCTCTGTTGCCACATTGGCAGCCCGGCTTTTCACGGCAAAGTCGCTGGAGCAGTTGCCATACACAGTATCCTGTGGGAGAAGGCGATACGACCAGGCACATGTCACGGGGAGGGCAATCTGCCGCACTTTGGGAGGGCCGGGGGAGGTGGCTGGGAGCGTGCTGGGTGAACTCTAAGCGCCACAGGGAGGAGATTTGGGAGGGAGGGTGTTTGCTGCATGGTGTGGGCATTGCCGGAGTTGGGAGGAAGAAGATAATGAAGAATGGTTCTGAGGATGAAGGCGGGGCACTCTTGTCTGGCCTCCAGGAGCCAGCCAACCCCGGCTTTCCTTTCTGTGCTCTCAGAATATTAATTTCATTTAAAAAACTGTAACGTTGACGGGGGTTGACATTTCAGATGATTCACTTTCTATTCTGTGGTCTAAGCTATCATCAAACCCCACCCCCTTTTTGATTTCCCTTCTCCCTCCTGTGGTTCATCTTCCGCTTCACCCAAGTTCACACCCATCAACCCCCTAGTTCACGGTAAGCATTCGGTTTCTCACTTGTTCATTACAGCATGCGCTCTACTCTGTTCTTGTGCAAAAGGTCTAAGCGCTTCCTACAGGATGCATGTTGGTACACTACGGTCTAGTGCAGGGGTCCCCAAACTTTTTAAACAGGGGACAGTTCACTGTCCCTCAGACCCATTGGAGGGCTGGACTATAGTTTATAAAAAAACTATGAACAAATTTCTATGCACACTGCACATATCTTATTTTGAAGTAAAAAAAAAGGCGGGGTGGGGTGGGGTGGTGTGTGTGTGAGGGGGGGCGGCGGGGCAAAATTTATCCAGCAGGCCGGATAAATGTCCTCAGCGGGCCGCATGTGGCCTGCGGACTATAGTTTGAGGATTCCTGGTCTAGTGGATAACTTAGAACGCAGTAAGGTCGCAAGAACTTTTGTGGGACAGAATTAAGTGGAATCTTTTCCTAAGGTCAAAACCCAAAGTTCTTAAAAGAGGCTAGCAACATAACTCATTACTTTTCTTGTTTATATAGAGACACACAGGCTCTACTGTGTTAGACCTTCAGGCAGTAGGAGAACATCAGACAAATGCAGGGAATGTGCTGATCAGAACTTCCCAGTAACTGTTTTTAAATCACACCCACTCCCATCAGCCTGGTAGGGGTGAACTATCAGTGAGCCCAATAGGGCACAGCTTTCTTAGCCTTGGTGTTAGTTATATGTAGGATGGGAAGAAATCTGGGCAGTCTGACCCCCATTATTGCCCACTAGTATACTGAAGGTGGAAGGTCTCCTGTGTAATTAGCCAGGCAACTAAGTCAGGGATCCAGTTTATGTCCACCAGACCTACCCAAACCCACTGCCACTGAGGTGGTTCTAACTGAGACCAACCCTAGATAGTCTTCTCTTTCTCCTGCAGAATCTCTGGTGGGTTTGAAACACTGCCCTTGTGGTTAGCAGCTCAACACCCACCCCCAAAGCCACCAGGCTTCCTTCTTTAAGTGTGCAGCAGGGCTTAGAGGAGGTAAACCAAATGGAATTTAAAAGCCACTATGCTGATTTTTCCATCGTCTCACCAGAAACAGCACTTGTTTGTCCTCTTCTGTCTCTGGAGGAACCAGAAGGGCAGAGATGATGCCCCTCTTGATGTTCAGGATGTGTTTGGGTTCATCTGTCGCTGGGTAAAGTAAAACTTGCTTCCCTTTAGGAATGGTCAGCCTGAGCTCGTACCTGTTGGGAGGGAGAGAGAGAGGTCACAGAGAGGTGAGAAAAGGGAAACAAAGAAAAGCGTACACAAAACGATCTCATCTATATAAGAGAAAAACAAAATAATTGTATTTATATGCTTATGCCCACGTATATCTATATAGCAGTCCATGGAGCAACTGTTGCAAGTAAGGTGGGGTGACTCTGCAGCCTCTGTCTTACCTATTCTTTTTATGACATCTCTTTATACAAAACAAGCATTTTCAAGTGGAGACATTCATATGAATAGATATTTAACTGTTTTTCCTTTAAAGAAAGTTTTCTTGGCTTATGCTTCACATATTCTACAATTCAAACATTCAAGTCACATTAAGACGAGTTGGGTAATCATCACCACCATCCACTTCAGAACATTTTCTTCACATGCTCATTGCTGTTGGCTCCCCACTTCCACCCAACACCCCCCACCATGCCCCCAGAGGATCATTAACCCACTTACCATCTCTATAGACCCCCACCGCCCATTCCCCCATCCTGGACATTATATGCA